CTCGAAAAAGGAAAATGTAAAAATTCTCCCCAAAATTCCTTGTGAAACTTTTGTAAAGTTTAAAATAAACCCAATATAAGTGGAGAGCTATAAAGTGTGTAACAGCAAAAAAGGTACGCATATTACCAATATGTACAACTATTGACATTTACCAAATGATGTATGTAGTTTAAAATTTAGACATGCTTTAGCAATTATTGAAAACCCGAATAAATGTATGTATTTTGTTGTGTAGAAGTGCCTTATTTTGGTAGAGCGTGTTGGGGGAATTAAAATTGAAATTCCTCCATCCCCATAAGAAGAAATTCTGGAAATATTATTCCATTTCGCCCTCAAATAACATGTTAATGTGTTTTGCAAAATCTCCATTGAACCCACGACAAGCAAATGGAAGGGGAAAATGTTTCTCTTACCATGGAAGCTAAAATGTTTGTTACCCCTCATCTTGGGAACACACATAATGCTATGTTGAATATTTCCCATGTGCCTGCTGCCTGTCTCCCCCTCCCCCACTCGGTAAATGGCTTTGTGTTCAAAACAATATTTGTTATAATTTACGCTGATTTGACACTAATACATTGTGTTATTTTAAAATAAAAATTCTCCCTTCCCAATCCGGAGAGCCACCACCATAGAGTACATGCATCATTACAACCATGTGCTGGGCGAGAAAACACTCGTAAGGGCGAGGGTGGCATGATGGAGTTTGCACCAATTTAGTTCTTTCAGTTTGTATTAATTTTACGTTTAAATGGATTTAAAAACCTTTTAAAGTATAGAATTTAAAACCAAGTGAAAGGAGCACACAGCAAACATCCCCCCCCTCGTGATGTGTCTGCCCTCATTTGTTTTAATAGTATTATCCTTTATTTTAAGTGTGCGGTGGTCGTCTGATGAATATTAGCATGATTATTATTTTTCGCATTAAAATGGTCCTTTAACGAAAGAGCTTGGCGGAATGGATGGCGTATGCATAATACTTTTTTCCAATATTAATCTTCTTATATTGAAAACTCTGGAATTGAAAATATGATTGGCTTATATTTAATAATTGTATTTTTTATAAAAATGAAAAGCATCTTCTTAAGTTTGATGGATAAGTACGTATGAAATAAGATATTTTTGATGAGTTCCTAATTAAATGCCATAAAATTAGGGAATACAAGTAAAAAAGCTGTAAGCTCGGCTGGGCCGAAATTTGAATACTCTCCACCATTTGGAAGGAATTTGGCAATTTTCAAAAAAATAAAATCCGTTAAAAATTCTATTAAAATCTTAAAAATACCATTACAATATTCAAATGCGAAACTTGAAAAAAAAATAGGTGAATAATATATCTAAAATCATCAAAATACCGAATATAGGGAGGTACCGTTACATGAGGGTTATACGAGGACCTGCACAGACAATTTTCTGCCTTAGGTTGTAGTGTCCATTACGGACTTCAAATACCAAATTTGTAATAATTCCGGTGAATAATGTCCCCAAAATCATCAAAATGCCGAATATCGGGAGGTACCGTTACATGAGGGCTATACGAAGACATAGACCTGTACAGACAATTTTCTGTCACAGACTGTAATATCCATTACGAACTTCAAATACCACATTTGAGACAATTGCGGTGAATAATGGAACCTATACGAAGGCGTGGACCTGCACGGACATTTTTCTGTCATAGGCTGTAGCATTCATTACGAACTTCAAATACCAAATTTGAAACATTTCCGGTGAATAATTTCGCTTAAATCACCAAAATACCGAAAATAGGGGCGTACATTTTATGGGGGCTAAACCAAAACGAGGACCTACATGACCCATTTGCAAAGTCCGGCAGACATAATATACATTTGAGTAAAATTTTATCAATCAACTTCATTTCGTTCGGAAGCTAGAGTGATTTCCACAGACGGACGGACATCGCTAAATCGACATACGCTGATCAAGAATATAAATACTTGGTGGGGTCTAAAATGTATATTTCGTAGTGTTACAAATGGAATAAAAACCTTAATATATCCTCCATACTATGGTGGAGGGTATAACAAGTAAGAAGAGCCTAAAATTTGAGAAAGCCTCTAACATACTTTATAATTGAAACGGTCGGCTTGAAAATTTCCAAAAACACCCCAAAACATAAAATTTACGTCCATTCAGAACAATATGTCAAGGATATTAAAACTGCCTAATGAGCTAAAACATTGACTTATATAGAAAAATTGTACTAGAAAGTGTTCAAGGTTCAAAAAAAAAAAAAAAAAAAACAAGTAAGCAAAGGCTACAGTCGAGCGGGGTCGACCGTTGAATACCCTACAACACTACAATAAACGATACAGTTTATATAGGCGAGATACTCGAAAGAATTCAACAAGATATTGTGACAAATAATAAAAGAAAACCATCAGGTTTAGTTCTCTAATTTTCGAATAATAGCAACATAAACTAATTTGCTCATTTCCAATTTATTGGTAGATGTTGCACTTAAATGGTCTTCCTAGATCTGGAACCAATATTTCCCAAAGACCCATAATCTCTCAGAAGTGGCAAAAGATTAACATTTATTATTGGTTTTTGACTGAAATACATCTATATGAGATACAGCCATTTGACTATATTCTTCAACGAAATAGTCAGAAGTGCGTCTTTCCTGTATTTGTGAATTCTCCAAAAAGTCACTGGAATGGACATTTTCGTATTTTGTCTACAAAAGTCGGCAAACTCCTTTACACATTGAATATTTTTGGATGGTCAGCCAAAACTGATTGGCTTTTGCAATGTCCGGTAACCCCCGTTCAAATGTGCCTAAGGATCGGGCGATAATTACGACCTGCCGACAATTTTGCAGTTTTTTTGGTCCATTTCAACCCCTAAATATATGGCGATCATCTCCAAAAAGAGTAGGCTTCTATTCTGACCCTCATTGTATCCCCATGCAAAATGATCGGGCCATAAATGCGATCTGTATATTATATTCTGATATCCTAACTACTTAGTTTTGTTAGCTGTAGAAATATTACCAAATGTTTAATTCAAAATGAAAATATGCCAAAAATATGACAAAATTAAAAAAATATGAGAAAATTTACAAAATTAATATTTTCATCTTTAGAGAGATATTTTTATGCGATTTTTTAGGCGTTTTTTCTTTTCTGCCAAGAGGCCATTCTGAATTAATGAGAACTGTCGAAATCAGTTCAGCCGTTCTCGACATAAAATAGATCTTTCAAGCATATCTTCTTTGATAGACATATATATCGCACATATTTTGCTATATATTCGATTTCTTGGATCTTAACATCAATGTAAAGATCAGAAGTAACCTTGTCATGGCTTTGTGATTTCGCCGGGGTTTAAAATATTGGCGGTTTAATGAAAAATTTTGAATTTTTTCAACAAAAAAGATGTGGTCTATTTTAGCCGCTAAATATTATCCGATGACCACCCAAATTGGTAGGCTTCTTCCCTGCCCTAAACTCTATCTATATGCGAAATTCCGCGTCGATTGGTCTATAATTGCGACCTGTATAGCTACTGCAAAATCCGACATTTTTTCAGTATTTGGTCCATTTCAACCCCTAAACATTTGGCGATCATCTCCAAAAGAAATAGGGTTCTATTCTGAAGTTTGAAGTTCGAAATCGATACTACAGCCTGAAACAGAAAATTGTCTGTGCAAGTCCACGTATTCGTATAGGCCCCATATATCAGTACCTCCTTATATTCGGTATGTTGGCGATTTTAGATACAATACTCACCGAAATTGTTTGAGATGTCGTATTTGAAGTTCATCATGGAAGCTACAGCCTGTGACAGAAAATTGTCTATGCAGGTCCAGGACTTCGTATAGCTTCTTTATAACGGTACCTTCCTATGTACGGTATTTTGATGATTTTGGCTACATTATTCACCGTTTATTTCAAGTTTCGAATTTGAATATGGTAATGGCTTGTGACAAACAACGCTATATTCGGTATTTTTAAAATGTTAACAGAATTTTTGGCGAAAGTTATCTCTTTCGAAAAATTTCAAATTCGTTCTAAATGGTGGAGGGTATTTAAAGTTGTGGTGTAAGCTCTTGTACTTTTTGGAATTTCAATGGCTTTACCTCCAGCTCATTTTTCAATGTTTGCCGAATGGAATATTGCGATATGTTCAGCTCACGAGCCATTTTTCGGCCACTGTGACGCGGGTTTCGATCAAGTCGTTTTTTTACTTTTCGAACCATTTCTGCTGATGTAGCTGTTTTCTTCCGTCCATTTCCTTGACGTCGGGCTGCGCTACCAGTATCACGGTAACGAGCGATGATACGAGACACAAAAGTTTTATTGCCATCTAAATGCTGGAGCGCTCTATCGATAGGCACTTTTGGGTTTCAAGCCAAATATAAAGAAATCCCACTATCACGTTTGAATTCCATCACGAATAACTTTTTTTTTTGGAAAATTCTCACCAAAATACTTTTGTACGATTGTAAACAATGTAATGAGCTGTAACTGGAATAATTTTAACAGCTGTCGGACGAGTGGCTTAGAAATGACAGCAGTTGGTTGCAGTTTTTTTCATTTCACACTTTATAGACAATTATCTGCTAAAAAAAAGGTGGTGCCTATTTGCGATCAATAAATACCAAGGAGATAGTTCCGTAGAAAAATCTTGATGAAATCGGAAAAATACTAAATGTCGGAAGGTGCCATTATATAAGGAATAATAGAAGATATGTACCGAAATATGTAGCTTTCTACGGGTTAAAATCATCCAAATACGGAATATCGCTGGCATATCGTTCCATAAGTCCCACATCAATCGTATTTGAATTGGTTAGACGTTTTGACACTGTTATCTTATCTTAGGTTTCGACTCGACAAACATTAGCGGTGTTTGTTTGTTCATCATATATTCTCAATAAAAAATCTATTTTGGGTGGAAAACTTTTTCTAGGTTTAAAGGTTTAAATTATGCCTATCGGGTTTTACAAAATACAACAATTTAGACTAATTCCATTATTTCCTTTTATTGTTTTAGACTTAAAATAATTTTAAGCATTACATTCAGTAGTAAATAGGATAAAGATATAAAAACCAAAATAATGCACAGCATACTGGCATAAACATCCAGATTATAATATTCCCATGTATTTAAATTTTGACCCAGATTTCGAAGGTGTTTTGCTCCCTTGTATTTAATGATGTGCTCGACCCAATAGACAGACTTTTCCAATGGGGTATTCTGCTGATCACGAAAAATTTCTGACTTCAGTTTGGCTTCGTTGCGATAGCGATTTGTAGCCAACAAATCATATAGAGCTTGACCCAATGCTTTCTCATTAAATTGTCGGCAAGTAAACGAAAGGCCATTGCCAATTTTCCTGATATTATCCACATAGTCATCATGTAGGCCATCATATCTGGGTATGCCCAGAATCGGCACACCATGGTAAATGCTGTCTATAATATGAAGATAATCTCCATGTGATATAAATAAACGGATATTTGGATGAGCTAGAACTGAGTGATGTGATAGATCTTGATGGAAGTAATGAACATTGCGAGGTATAAGCAAGGTATCCCAAGGTCCAAAGTTGCTGTTCCATAAGACCAACTGGGGATATCTCCCCAAGCCATTTAAAATTATTTGCATTACATGCTGGGGTAATATGGAATTTAATTTTACATATAGTACACCATGCTGGCTATTATCGAGCAATTGTTTTATATTCTCAGCAATGGGTTCCGCTTGTGTGGGTATATGCAGCCCAGCCACTTCAATCATATTTGGCACATACGGCCGAGGGGTTGTAATCGTATAATGATCATTTACCAAAACCAATGAAAAATTCTTTTGAGCCTCATCCAATCTCATTGTGGCATTGGGGAAATATTCATTATATAGACGTCTCTGAACTGGCATATATCGTAGAACAAAATACATCCAATCAAAGCTATAGACGATTACATTTAACCATCTGCGCCAGAAATCCATGTTTTGATTATATTTACGTAGCATTATCATACTGGGTATATACGATAGAGGTGTGGTGTTACCAACTAATTCATCGACCCAAATGATTCCACTCCAATATGACACAGCCACCATTGGCGCTCCAAAGTACTCGCCAAGGCCATAGAAGCCTTCCGAAAATGTTACATCTATAATAATTAAATCAAATGACTCGTTTGCCATCAGTTCTTGGAATTGCGCATCAACGATTACATTACGGCACATGTCATAGGATCTGCCATAGAAAATTTCTACTGTATCAAAATAGTTGCTGTTGATCTCATCCATGGTAAAGTTTTTAAATTCTGGAAACAAAAACCAAGTTGTTTTTAAGAAATTAATTAATATATTTTTTTTTTATTTATTTATACTTACCATCAAATAAATGTAGATTTTCTTCAACGACAACATCTCGAAAGTTATCCATGGGTTCCGTTTGGGGAAAATTATTCACCGATGTTATGTGATGCCCCCTTTTGGCCAACTCCCTTAATAATGGCTGTATAAATTCATATTGACTAGGTCCGGGAAAAGCCAAAATCGCCAGAATGCGTGCAGCATTTGTTGTTAACAGTAATTGACTACATAAAATCACTGCTAACAATATTAAGAGTGACATTTGTCTGATTAAGCATTTAAGCGGTCGACATAACGCTCCATAATTCAATCAAATACTGGCGCTTAATTTGTGATACTATTTGAAAGAGCTTAATCGACGTATAAATTTGCGAGACTTCTTATCAGTTGAAGATCATATAATTGTTGTGGTAACGATTTGTTTATATGACATATGATAAAAGGTTTGCGCTTACAGAGACAAGTACTCATTTAGATTACATGTCGGAGAGCACACCCGAAAATGTTAGGAGCGCCGAACCTTGTTTTCTGTCTTGATGCGTAGGTGTGTGATAAGACTGGGATTGTAAAATTCGCTAGATAGAATTCTGAATTTTGGAATGAGAGTCACTGATGGAGTGCAGAATAGATGTACTAAAGACAGCATAAACGGTGCCTGAACATAACCCCTACGGACCGGTTTGTTTGGTCATAACCCCCACAATAATGTGGGATTTATTTCCGCTTCCAAAACGAAAATACTTCCCATGGGGAAGTGAAAAAAAAAACCAGTAAAAAACATTTAAGTTCGGCCGGGCCGAACTTTGAATACCCTCCACCATTTGGCACAAATTTGGCATTTTTCAAAAAAAAAAAAAAAATCCATTAAAAATTCTGTTAAAATCTTAAAAATACCGAATGTAGCCATATATTAGGGGCTGTATGACGACGTGGACCTGCATAGGCAAATTTTGTCACAAGCTATTACAATATTCAAATGCGAAACTTGAAAAAAATCTGTTTATAATGTAGCTAAAATCATCAAAATACTGAATATCGGGGGTACTGTTATATGGGGGCTATACGAAGACGTGGACCTACATGGCCCATTTTCAATACCAAAAGTCCTGCAGACATAATACACATGTGAGTAAAATTTTATCAACCTACTTCATTTCGTTCGGAAGCTAGAGTGATTTCCACAGACGGACGGACAATGATAAATCGACATAGAATCTTATGCTGATCAAGAATATGTATACTTTGTGGGGTCTAAAATGTATATTTCGAGGTGTTACAAACGGAATGACAAACTTAATATACCCTCCATACTATGGTGGAGGGTATAAAAAAGGCTTAAGGGCTATGCTTGGATTGACCTTAAATTCGTATACAAGGTAGGTATTTTAAACTGATTATGACAAAAATAAATAAGTGATCGTATGATTATGACTTTCAACGGGTTCTGGAGCAATGCAAGAAAATGTATTTTGTTGTACCGTAACTTTTGGAAAATCTCCTAAAAAGTTAAAAATGGACCTCTTATGGTGTATTAGGATCTACATAATACATTATGGCATATGCTTATGCCTTTCCAAAACATACCCAGAGGAGAAAATCTCAGGCCCCAGCCGAAGACTGGCAACTAACAAAAGTATAAAAAACTGTGGATCGCGTAGACGGTGTCGGACCTACCTCAGAGGACAAAATCTCAAGTCCCGGCCAAAGGCCGATAGATCTTGATGGAAGTAATTAACTTTGCAAGGTATAAGCAAAGAATCCCAAAGTTCGAATTTGCTGTTACATAAGACCAATTGGGGATATTTCCCAAAGCAATTTAAAATTATTTGCATTACATGCTGAGGTAATATGAAGGTAATGTTGGCAATTATTCAGCAATTGTTATACCCTCCACCTTAAAAAGCAGGGTATATTAACTTTGTCATTCCGTTTGTAACATCCATAAATATTCGTCGTAGACGCCATAAAGTATATATATTCATGATCAGCATAAAATTCTAAGTCAATTTAACGATGTCCGTCTGTCTGTCTGTCTCTCTGTTGAAATCACGATATAGCCTACATTATTTGACGTAGAGCTTCAAAATTTGGCAGAACAATTTGTGTTATGTCTAGGATGGTTGATATTGAAAATGACATTTTTTAGCGACATTATTTACCGGAATTGTTTCAAATTTTGTATTTGAAGTTCGTAACGGATACTACAGCCTACGATAGAAAATTGTTAGTGCCGGTCCACGTCTTCGTGTAATAGTACCTCCCTATATCCCCATATAATAGTACCTCCCTATATCCGGTATTTTGATAATTTTAGCTACATTATTCACCGATTTTTTCAAGTTTCGTATTTGAATATCATGATAAAAGTTGCCTATGCAGGTCTAAGTCGTCGCATTTTTAACGGATTTTATTTTTTGAAAATTGCCAAATTCGTTCCGAATGGTGGAGGGTATTTAAGGTTCAGCCTTTTTACTTGTTTTATATTCTCAGCATTGTCTTCAGGTTTTGTATAGGCAACCCAGCCACTTCAAACATGTTTGGAGCATACTATTTGCGTTTTGTCATGGAATAATGATCATTTTCAAAACAATGAAAAATTCTACTGAGCCTCATTGGAATTGGGAAAATACGGCTACTTAAAGTTATATACATAAATATTGTTGAGCCGGATTTTGTGTCCGAACGTTCGGGTCGAATAAACGGGTAATCCCATTATTATGAGTATTATGTGCGCTACTTTCAAGGAATTATAACCCAGTTTTTTTGGACATAATCCACACTGAATTATGGGGGTTAAGACCGAAAAAGCGATCATAATTCCAAAATTGTAATGGGCATTATGACACGACCGTACTAAACATCTCAAATGGTACCATTTGGTATATTATGAACGGATAAAGAAAATTTTGTATAAGAATTAAGGTTACATTTGTTACGTGAAGGTGGTTTCGGAAATATGTACTAAGTGTGCGAACTGTAGTAAGTGGTACTAAATTTGGAACAGTTTGATTTAGGTTGAATTTATATAGCTGCAATTACTAAATTCTGTATTGGGGTCCCTGTTGAAGGTAAAGGTGGTGGTTTTCGAAATGTGTACTGCAAGTGCATGGGAACAACTAAATGGCGCTATATTTGAAACAATTTGGTATTGAGTGAATAGATAGAATCTTGAAATCGCTGTTCATGTGTTCCTGGACATATAGATGTGGTTTCTGGTACTGGAGAGGAGTAATATAATTGTACGAAAAGTACTAAATTGTAATATATTTGGTATTGGTTAGAGGGATATATATAAAATTCTGAACTTTTATGCTTATATTGCTTATAGTATCTGTGTTTGAGATTTGGCGTAGTTTCGAAATGTGTCATATATTTGTACGAAAATACCTAGGTGGTACTACATTAGGAATATAGGGGAGTACTGTTATATGGGGGATATACGATATTGTGGACCTATATAGACAATTCCGTTTCAGGGGTAAAGTGCTCACAAAGAACTCCGTGTGTGGATTTTCAGACAATACGATTGGAAAATGGGGCTAGAATCATCAAAATACCGAATATCGCGGGATACCGTTATATGGGGGCTATACATAATCGTTAACCTATATAGAAAATTCTCTGTCGGGGGGTAAAGTGCTCACAAAGAACCCCTTGTGTACAAAGAATCCCTTGTGACCATTCCGTTGAAAAATATGGCTAAAAACATCAAAATACCGAATATCGGGGGTACCGTTATATAAGGGCTATACGATAACGTGGACCTATATAGATAATTCTCTGTCGAGGCATAAAGTACCCACAAGGAACTCATTGTGTGGATTTTCAGACAATTCCGATAAAAAATGTGGGTAAAATCATAAAAATACCGAATATCGGGGGGTACCGTTATATGGGGGATATACGATACCGTTAACCTATATAGATAATTCTCTGTCGAGGTATAAAGTACCCACAAGGAACTCCTTGTGTGGATTTTCATACAATTCCGTTGAAAAATGTGGGTAAAATCATCAAAATACCGAATATCGGGGGGTACCGTTATATGGGGGATATACGATATCGTGGACCTGTATAGACAATTCTCTCTCAGGGGGTAAAGTACTCACAAGGAAGTACTTGTGTGGATTTTAAGACAATTCCATTGAAAAATGTGGCTAACATCATTAAAATACCGAATATCGGGGGGTACAGTTATATGGGGGATATACGATATCGTGGACCTATATAGATAATTCTCTGCCGAGGTATAAAGTACCCACAAGGAACTCCTTGTGTGGATTTTCAGACAATTCCGTTGAAAAATGTGGCTAAAATCATAAAAATACCGAATATCGGGGGTACCGTTATATGGGGGCTATACGATATCGTGGACCGATATACCCCATCTTCGAACTTGACCTGCCTGCAGACAAAAGAGAGATCTGTTTTAGCTTCCTATCTTAATTCGTTTAGACTGTAGCGTGATTACAACAGACGGACAGACTGAATGACAGGGCTAAATCGTCTTAGAATTTTACGCTGATCAAGAATATATATATTCTTTGTTGGGTCTAAAATGATTATTTCGATGAGTTACAAACGGAATGACGAACTTAATATACCCTCCATACCTTTTTTGGTGGAGGGTATAAAAATAAATAAATGTGTTTCGTACCATCGCTCGTTACCGTGATACTGGTAGCGTAGCCCGAAGTCAAGGAAGTGGGCGGAAGAAAACTGCAACATCAGCAAAAATTGTTCGTAAACTAAAGAAGCGACTTAATCGAAACCCGCTTCGCAGTGGCCGAAAAATAGCTCGTGTGCTGAACATATCGAAATATTCCATTCGGCAAATATTAAAAAATCAGCTCGGGGTAAAGCCATTGAAATTCCAAAAAAGTGCAAGAACTTACACCGCAACAGAAAAAAAAAATAGTCTCAAAGGAGCTAAAGAGTTGCTTCACTTGGCCGAAAGTGTTGAACTGCCGAATTTGGTTTTCTCCAATCAGAAAACATTCGTTGTCCAGTAGTTTGTAAACAAACAATATGATCGTGATGACTTGCCAAAGACGTCAGCTGAAAATGTGTACCATCGGTTGGCCATCAAAACTCAAGCACCGGCCATGATGATGGTGTGGCCGCCATAACAGCCGATGGTCGCTCTCCGCTCGTATTAATCGACCGAATTAATGCGGAATATTATCCCGAAAATATTCTGGAGGTTGTATTAAAGCTTGGGCACGCAAACATTTTGGCCACAGACCTTGGACAGTCTAACAGGGCTCAGCGCCATCGAAGTCAGCACGCGCCACCCAAAAATGGTTACAAAATGAGGTTCCTCGCTTCATTTTCAGCGCACAAAGGCCACCAAAATCTCCGAATATACGATCACCTCTAGCAAGCGCTTCGTCGGGAATGGGCCAAAATACCACAGAGCAACATTCGGGCAGGTGATCAATTAGAAAAAGGTGACCAATTAGAAAAAACCTAAACTTAACTTAAACCGTTTGACTTTGTTGCCGTTTTTTTATCTCACCCTGTATTTCCAAAAGACTACCTTCAGAAATGCAAACCCTTGATCATAAAAAAATATTACAAATTGCCGTTGGAAAATAAATTTTTGTTAATTTCTCATGACGACAAAATACACTCTTCCTCATTCCTTTCATAAAATTTCGTGTATGTGAAACATATTCGCAGATATATATTCTACTTCCATAAATGTATACATTTATAAAACGTAACTTTCGTTATGACAAAATGAAACCAAGAAATAATTCCATTATTTTTCCTTTATTGTTTAATACTAAAGATAAATTTCAGAGTTACATTTAATAACAAATATGAAAAAAATATAAAAGCCAAAATAATGCACAGCATACTGGCATAAACATCCAGATTATAAAATTCCCAGATATTTAAATTTTGACCCAGATTTCGAAGATGTTTTGCTCCTTTGTAGCGAATGACATGTTCGATCCAATATACAGCTTTCTCCATTGGTGTATTCTGCTGATTCCGAAATATTTGCGACTTGAGTTTAGCTTCGTTGCGATACTGATTTGTAGACAGCAAATCGTTTAAAGCTTGACCCAATGATTTGTCATTAAATTGTCTCAATGACAGTGAAAGACCATTGCCAATTTTCTTGATATTATCCACATAGTCATCATTTTGGCCATCGTATCGAGGGATACCCAAAATGGGTATGCCATAGTAAATGCTGTTGATAATATTGAGATAATCCCCATGTGATATGAATAAATAGATATTGGGATGAGATAGCACCGAGTGGTGTGAAAGATCTTTCAAGAAGTGGACATTGCGTGGAATACGCAGAGTATCCCAAGGTTGAAACTTGCTGTTCCACAAAACCAATTGTTGACATTTTCCCATGCGATTCAACAGCAACTGGACTATGTGTTCCGGTAGTACAGATCTTAATTCCACATATATTACACCTTGGGGGTTATTGTCTAGCAGTTGTTTTATATTCCCAGCAATGGGTTCCGATTGTGTGGGTATATGCAACCCAGCAACTTCAATCATGTTTGGAACGTACGGCCGAGGGGTTGTAATGGTATAGTGGTCATTTAACAAAACCAATGAAAAATTCCTTTGGGCCTCAATCAATGACATTGTGGCATTGGGAAATTGTTCATTATATAGTCGACTATGTATTGGAATGTAACGTAAATAGTAGAATATCCATTCCGAAATAAAAACGATAACATTTACCCATCTTGTCCAAAAATTCATGTTCTGATTATATTTCCTCAGCATAATCATATTTGGTATATACGAGAGAGGTGTGGTGTTTCCAACTAATTCCTCGATGGATGTCATTGTACTCCAATAGGATATGGCTACCATTGGTGCTCCGAAATGCTCCCCAAGACCATAGAATGCCTCGGTAAATGCTACATCCAAAATAATCAAATCAAATGTTTCCAGTGTCAGTAGGTTTTTAAATTTTTCATCGTTGAATATATTGAATGCCATTTCGTAGGATTTGCCATAGAAAACTTCCATGGTATTGAAGTAGTTGCTGTTTATGTCGGCCGTGGTAAAATTTTTAAAATCTAAATAAAACATTAAAAAAAGTTTGAATTAAGAACTGTTTCTCTAAAATGATACGTATGTGAAAGCCAACGAAAAACACAATTCTTAAAATGATTTTAAATTACTTTAAAAAAGCGAACATTTTAAAACATATTTTGGAATTGTATTTTTCTTTGGCAAAATCGTCAATCAGAGACGAACGCTGCATAAAAAAATATACAACTTACCATCAAATAAATGTAAATTTTCTTCAACAACAACATCTCGAAAATTATCCATGGGTTCCTTTTGAGGAAAATTATTTACCGATGTTATGTGATGGCCCCTGCTGGCCAATTCCCGCAACAATGGTTGCATGAATTCATATTGACTTTTTCCGGGGAATGCTAAAATCGACAAAATACGTGCAGCATTCGTTGTTAACAGTAATTGAGCCCATAAAATCACCATAAACAATGCAGTGATATACATTTGTAGGATTTAATATTTGAGACGTCGGCATAACTTTTCGTAGCACAACCAAACACTGCCGCTTTGTTTGTGATACTATTTCGAATAATTCAATTGGCGAACAAAATTGCTAGACGTTTTCTTATCTCGCGTAGACCATATATTTGTTGGGCTAATTGTGTGTTAATTTGTGGGAAGATAAAAGTCGGTCGATAACACAGATAGGTTGCCACAAAGTTACGATTAATGGTGGCCAAATTCAAAAATTAAAATAATAAATATTTATTTATTTTAATATTTAAATATTTATATTGTAATGACATTTAATTCCTTAAGGAAAATAAGTTTCATTCAATATGAATCATAAACATGGGCATATACCATGGTAAACTTAGATTTTAAGGCCGAACCATTTTATATAATGCATATTTTCAGTATCTATTGGCAGATTTATTTTCATTATCAGATTTAATTAAAATTTATTCATGAAATATACTCATTTTGAAAAAATGAAATCAAAATAACTTTAAAATCCCGAATATTTTAAAATTTTTCGAATACTTTAAAATTCCGAATATTAATTGCCACCTTTGTACATGACAATATGTAAACTTAGAACCCGTGACATTTACTAACCTCTAATACAAAGTCTGAGATAATTATTTTGAAAAATGTATCAAAATACCGAATATCTGTAGGTGCTCTTATATGGGGGCTATACGAAGATCTGGATCTGTACAGGAAATGTTCTGTCGTAGGATACGTAATTCCAGTGAAAAGTGTGGCCAAAATCATCATAATACTGAAAATAGGAATGTAATCTTAAATGTGGGCAGGAAATTCCAATATTTGAAAAAAAATCTTCGAAGTGAGTTTTTTCAGACTATTTGATTAAAAATGTGTTTAAGTCCTTCAAGATATACAAAATCGAAAGATTCAATAATAAGAGATGATTGGCAAAACATGAAACTTTTATAATCGCATTTTTGAAAGAGGACTTTCTATCAACTATCGCTTAGTTCCAAAAATTAAAGTTAAGTTAAAATAGCGTTCGAAAAGTAAAGAGAGAGACTTGATCGAAGCCCGCGTTGCAGTGGCCGAAAAATGGCTCATGAGCTGAATATATCGCAATATTCCATTCGACAAATATTGAAAAATGAGCCATTGAAATTCCAAAAAGTGTAACAACTTACACCGCAACCGAAAGAAAATAGACTCAAAAGAGCTAAAGACTGCGGAATTTGGTTTTCTCCGATGAAAAACATTCGTTGTCCACAGTTTATAAGCAAGGAAAATGATCGTGTTTACTTGCCAAAGAGGTCAGCGGAAAATGTGCACCTTCGGTTGGCCACAAAAACTCAAGCGCCGATCATGGTGATGGTGATTGGCCGCCATAACAGCCGACGGTCACTCTCCGCTCGTATTAATCGACCGTGGCATCAGAATAAATGTCGAATATTATCGCGAAAATACTCTGGAGGGTGTATTAAAGCCTTGGGCACGCAAACATTTTGGCCGACGACCTTGGACATTCCAACAGCACCATTCCAGCACGCGCCACCCAAGAATGGTTACAAAAGAGGTTCCTCGCTTCATTTCCAGCGCGCAATGGCCACCAAAATCTCCGGATACCAATCCGTTGAAGTATTGTGTCTGAAGTATTTTGGAAAGCATAGTTGGCACTAAAAAATACCAAAGTGTCGATCACCTCAAGCAAGCGTTTCGCCGGTAATGGGTCAAAATACCGCAGAGCAATATTCGGGCAGCGTTTGACGGTTTCATTGGCCGTTTGAAGGCCATAATTCGTTCCAAAGGTGACAAATTCGAACAAATCTAAACTTATTCTAAAATTTCATTCTATTTCCGAATTTGTTTGCTTTAATTCAATAAAATTTAAAGAAAAATAAATGTACAAATTATGCAGTTTGACTTTATTGATTTTTTTTGTCTCACACTGTATAGGGTATTACAGGGTTGCCCATATTCGACGGACCCATCTGGCAACGCCATAACTTTTGACAGAGATGTCACATCGCTTAATGACATACCGCGTTTGAAGCGTCAGTCCAAGCAGATTTCTACCATGAACCAATACACGCCATGCGAGCGCTCTGAAATTTACATTCAACAGAAGAAGTCAATTGTGAAAACTCAACGTGCTTTTAAAACATTAAAAAATGTGAGAAGTGCGCCTTCTAAGAACACCATTAAGCGTTTATACGAAATGGTAAGGCTCTTTCTAATCCGAAGAGGCCATATAAAAGTCGACCAAGGCGATCGGCCGAGAATGTTGAGAGGTCCCCAAGAACATCCCAAAAACGCCGTTCTCAGTAGTTGGGCATGGCTCGGTCCACTTTACAACGGATTATTCGCATTGATTTGCATTTGTTCCCATACAAAATTCAATTGACGCAAAGAATGTTGCCTGCGGACGAGCCTCGTCGATTGGAATGGGCCCAAAGGTCCGTCGAATATGGGCAACCCTGTATATGAACTCAACTTCACAAAATTTTGCAAGGATAGATCATCATAATATCTAAAACTTGGAAGTGCTGTTGTACTGTTGTTGTTAAAAAAAAGCAGGGAGAAATTCTCGCAGCTCAGAACGCAAAATGTCACGTTTCTCATTATTGTGTTTAAAATTGTCTCGAACACTTCAAAATACCGGAAATTAGAAGGTGCAATAATATGGGTCCTATACCAACTACTGGAACAATCCTGAACAATTTTTGCATAAAAAAAATATAATATCCACTCAGAACTCTAAATGTCAATTGTTTTCAAAACATTCAAAATAACGAAAATTATGAAGGAACGCTATATAAGGGTCATACCGAAACGTTGACCAATATGTCCCTTTTTTATTACCAAAATTTTATAGGGATAGAATGCTTTCCTGAATTAATGTCTGTTTTTTGAGGACTTCACCACACTGCGCGATGAAGTCAGAAATGCCAATTGAAACCATTTTGGAGGGTTTCAGAAATATCTAAAAATGTACCATTTCGGAGTTTGTTACATCGGTGCCCTCTCCTTCTCTCTCTCTCTCTCTCTCTCTCTCTCTCTCTCTCTCTCTCTGGCTGTAAATCGTGTTTGGTTTCCGTGATAATGTCACCCTTTAATTGCCCCCATTACCCAAACACACAATAATCATCTCAACAATTTTTAATCATTTTTATATTTTCTACGATACGCTTTTCTCACAACCTTTCCACAGAAATACACAATCATGTAGAAAATAGCCAATACTGTCAATACCACCAAACAAAGAATCAACCAAACATCAAGATTATAAAATTGCCATGAATTTAAATTTTGTCTCAAATTACGGAGATGAGCAGCTCCATTGTGCCTCAGAACGTACTCTATTCCAAAAATAGCTCTCTGCATTGGTGTATTTTGTTGATCACGTAATTGCAGAGACTTGATTTTTGCTAATTTTGTATAGTTTTCATTCTGCAGGAGTTCCACTACACTCCAGTATATGTGATTATCCTTCAGGGAATTTGGTCCGAGTTTTACTGAAATTCCAGTTTTTATTTTCTCTACAGCATCAAAAAATTCTCCTGGTTTCCCATAGATATTCCTGAGACCTAATATGGTAAGACCATAATGGATACTCTCAATGACACTTAGAAAACCGGCTTCGGATATCAGCAATTTACACTTGGGATGTTCAAGTACGGCATAATGAGATATCTTTGGGTAAAATTTCACATTTCGTGGTATCCGTAGTTTGGCAGAGGGAGAATGATTGGTATTCCAAACAATTGTGTGATTAAGCATTTGGAATTGTTGCAAAATTCTTTGCATCACATTATCGGGGTATGGATTCCCTATGGCAACGTAAATAAATCCTTGGCTGGTGGCATTTAGTATTTTCCCAACATGCTGAGGTAAGGGTTTCGGTTTCTCGGGAATATGTAAACCTGCAACATCCAGCATATTTGGAACATACGGTTTCGGAGAACTTATTGCAGGATGATCATTTAGCAATACTAGGGCAAATTTCTTTTGGATCTCTTCAACGGATTTTGTGGCATTGGGAAAATGACGCCCATAGAACTTTTCATTCATTGGCATATATTCACAATGATAATATATTGAGACTAAAACAAAGCCCAATGTGTAAACATCTTTGCCAAAATGTCATGTTTTCATCGTAGCGATGGGCCATGGCCAAATTTGCCACATAAGAAAGTGGTGCAGAATTGCCCATTAATCCATCAATGGAGACGGTGGAACCAATTGTTGAGACACCCACAACTGGTGCATCAAAATGTTGCACCAGTCCATAAAGTGATTCACAAAATATGAAATCCAAGAGAATTACATCGAATCTCTCATTCTGCATTATGTGGCGGATCATTGAATTCTTCAGAATATTGGTGGCGATTTCATAGCCATTGGTAAAAATTTTCCCATTGGTATCAAAATTTTCCTTGTCAAAAGGTTTATTGGTGGCATGTTGCAATGCTGAAAAATATATATTTTTTCTCTTTTACTTTCTTGACCCGTTTGACCTATTGTTCCTTACCTTCATACAAATACTTATTCTCACTTACTACAATGGAGCGCAAATTTCCGTGTTTTACATTTTGTTCGAAGTTGGTTATGGATGTAACGTAATGTCCACGCTCAGCCAACTGTTCGAGCAGGGGTTCGATGAAAACATATTGCGAAGGTCCTTGATGACCAAATATTGACAAGATTCTAGCTGCCTGCACCCGCTGTCCTACAGCTATCGCCAAAAGCACAAACGCTACTGCATTGTAAAACATTTTCAATATGAAACAATACGAACTAAATTTAATAAAGCACCACGTAGAATATCAATTCAATAATACTTCAATACTTTTATCAGTTGATGTTGTTGTAAAGTGTCACCGTGTTGTTTTTTTTTTACAAAGTTTGTTGTTAAAACGATAGTTCGGCTTTATTGTTTGATAACAATCCAAACTTATCAAATGCTTATCTTAATTGTTTGTTCTTGTTATTATCATGACTAAGTAATTTTGGTGATAAGCCAACGTTGGAAAATAAAACGTGCTTCATTGTTTTGTTTATAAACAAATCAAAGGGAAAAATTTGCAATTAACAAATGCTGGAGCGCAAAACTAATATTTTTTTTCAATACTATAAAGAGCGAATGACTGATTGAAAGCTATAAATGAAACGACGAAAGGGGACTTAAGTTCCACCACGATCGACGATATTTTTATATCATTGAACATAAAAGGAAGCATTCGAAATATTGATGGTATTCAATGAAGATATTCAAAATACTAAATATCGGGTTGTATCATTACATATATGGGAACTATATTGACCCGTAAGGAGTGGGCAAAAGACGGGCGGGAAGAATGTATGGCACGCATGCGCACATTAATCTTTAGATCGATTGAACTTTAAAAATCGGATGGAATTAATATATAGGAGCTATATCTTCATCTGAAAAGATTTCCAAAAAAATTAACGGATTAAGTTTTATAACATACACCACTATGTGTTGGTGGTATTATATGTTTGATTGGGCCATAAATTATGTAACACCTCAAAATATTGGGCCAAGATATAGATCTTCCTATGTTGCCAAGCGGAGTGGATCTAGCAATGTACGTTCTTTCGTCCGTCTGTCCATGTAAATTGTAATCAGACTACAGGTTGCATTTATGGCCCGATTCTCGCGAAATTTTGCATGGAGGTGGGGTTAATAACAGAACAGAAGCCTATTGATTGAAATGGATTAAAACCAGAAAATTTTCTATACTTCTTTTGAAGTTACCCTAGAGGTCACAATTATAGACCAATCGACTCGGAATTGTGTATGGGGCTAGAGTTTTGGATGCTCATCGAATAATTTTTAGCGGGAGAAATACATCATAACTTTTACATAAAAACCAGTAAAGAAAGTCTCAAAGTCGGGCGGGACCGACTTTATGATACCCTACACCACTTTGCTAATTTAGTAGAGCTTCGCATAACAATTAAAAGTTTTTATGGTAGAATTCAATCATACACGCTATGATTATAATTATAATTTAAAGTTCAAAGGACTAAATATGCCGAAGCATTTGTATTTTTTAAATTCGGACTTGAATTTCCCATTTGGTGCACAATTAATTTGAAATCGGATAAAAATATATATGGGAGCTATATCCAAATCTGAACCGATCTCGATAAAATTTGGCAAAGATATTTCTGAGCTGTATTTGATATATTTCCCTGAATATCGTTGTTACGGAGTGCATATTACGGTTGTGGGTAACAAATATGACAAATCGGATGAACATAATATATGGGAGCTATAGCTATATCTGAACCGATCATTCACCAAATTTGATACACTAGCTTTTAGACTCATTTCGGTCGTAAGTGCCGAATTTCATCCAAGGTAAATCGGACGAAGTTATATATAGGAGCTATATCAAACACTGAACCGATCTCGATAAAATTTAGTAAACGTATTTCTGAGCTGTATTTTATATATTTCCCCAAATATTGTTGTTACAAAGTGCATATTACGGCTGCGGAGGACAAAAATAACAAATCGGATGAACAATATATATGGGAGCTATGACTATATCTGAACCGATTTCGATTAAATTTGGCATACTTATTTTCAGGTCCAATCTGACCGTGCAAAATTCTATACTATTCGGACGGATATTACACATTTGGTGCACAATAAAAAGCAAATCGGGCGAAGATATATATGGGATCTATATCTAAATTTTAATCGATTATCTCCAATTTCAATAGGGTTCGTCCTTGGGCCAAACAAATGATTTGTGCAAAATTGCATCTGGATAGGGCAGTAATTGAGAACTGTACTTTGGTTACAAAAATACATGGACAGACGGACAGACGGACGGACGGACATGCATAAATCGACTCAGAATGTGATTCTATGCAGATCATCAAAAGGAACTATGGGTCTATCTCGTTTCCTTTTGCCATAATACCCTGACCACCTTGTGGTGCAGGGTATAAATATGGAAATGTCCATTGAACCGGAAATATTTTTAATTCAAGCGAAATCACAAATACACGAAAGGGTCACTTCTGTATCATTGATGCTCACATTTAAAATGTCGCATATATAGCAAAATATATACAATCTTATATATCAAAGAAAGGGGTGTTAGTTAGACCGCATATAACTCAAGATCGGTGGGACGGATTTTGACAGATCCCATCAATTCAGAATGGACTTTTGGCAGAAATTGATAAATTCTAGAAAAATCACAAAAATATGTTTTAAATATGACAAATATTTTTACCGAAGAGGATTTTTATACCCTACACCACACTGGTCAGGGTATTATATGTTTGTGAATTTGTTTGTAACATAGGGAAGAAGAAGAAGTGAGTTGTCTTTACTGGTTTTGAGTTGTATTGGATATTTTTACACAATGTCGCAATTTTTGACATAATACCCTGTCCTCTGTATGGGGTATAAGAAAATGTTAGGATACTGTTTCGTAAGTAGCTGCCTTAGCCGAATAATTAATAAACCCATTATTTGCAATTGAAATATATAGTATAATCGCACATTTTAAATGTGTTATCTGAAAACTGGTGTATGGACAGGGACAGAAAACTAAACAAAAACATTTAGTAAAGCCTGTTATCAGTCGGTGACATACAAGAACAACCGGCAAAATGTTGATAAATAAAATGATTTTACAGGGTGAGGTAAAAAACTGGAACAAAATCAAAGGCCATAATTTTTAATTTTTTTTTTAAATTTTTTTTGAATGAAAGCAAAAAATGTCGGGAATAGCATCAAATTTTGGAATAAATTTCGATTTGTCCACCTTTGGCATGAATGATGGCCTTCGTATATTGCTTTGCGGTATTTTGCCCATTATTTTTCAGTGCCAACCTTGCTTTCCAAAATACTCCAGACACAAAAGTCCATCGGATTGGTATCCGGAGATTTTTGTGGCTATTGTGCGCTGGAAATGAAGCTAGGAACCTCATTAACACACAAGTAAACACGATCATTTTGTTTATTTACAAACTGCTGAACAACGAATGTTCTCTCATCGAAGAAAACCAAATTCGGCAGTTCACCACTTTCGGCCAAGCGAAGCAACTCTTTAGCTCCTTTGAGTCTATTTTCTTTGTGTTGCGGTGTAAGTTCTTGCACTTTTTGGAATTGCAATGGCCTTACACCGAGCTAATTTTTCAATACGAATATCTGCACTTATTTAGGTAATTTTATACTACAGCCATGGCTAATTCGACTTAGAATATTACTCTGATCAAGAATATATATATATATATAATATATATATAATGTTACGAAATGTTACAAATAGAATGACAAACCTCTTGTACCCTCTATTGCATGTATGGTTATAAAAACTAATCTTTTGTTGATTCTATAACGTGTTATCAGTTCAGGCACACGAAAACGAACATGAATGTCGATAGATAAATTGATTAGTGTTCCATTTTTTTCGCTTTCCGGGCAGTTGGTTCAATAATGCGCTTCAATACAGTTTTAGTCATATTTCTAATTTCCATCGAACAACAAGTCGGTAAAACAGCACGAATATTATCGATATTTGGTTTTGAGGGTCCAGCGCAATATGCATTTGTCGAAGCCCTTCTGCGTGGGTTGGGTGAACGTGGACATTATGTCACCTCCATTACAAATTTTCCTCAAAATTCAGAGCTTCCTAACTTGCGGCCCATTGTGATAAAAGAGAATTTTAACTTGTATGAGAGTAAGTTGTCAGGAAGCCGGTATTTGGGAAATGTAAACATTTACTTCTTCTTTTTCAGAATTTAAACAAGCCGCCAGTAGAGATATTGACATGGATCATTTCAATAGAACTGGAGAGATTTTCACAATAGGCTTTCAAATGTCGGAAAACATTCTTGGCAATGTCATGATGCGAAATCTGATGAAAAACGAAAAGTTCGATTTAATTTTAATGAACTTGCTGTTTTCCGAATCTCTTTATGGTTTGGCCCAACACTTTGACGCTCCAATTGTGGGTATTTGCACCATCGGATCAAGTATTCTGCTGGATGCCATATTTCGAAATCCAGCACCTTTGTCGTATGTCCCCAGTGTACTGATGACACATCGCTATGATGAAAATATGAATTTTTGGGAGAGATGTCTAAATGTTGCCCTCTTCGTACTCGGCAACTTGTATTATGATTTGGAAGTATTGCCAGTGAACAGAGAGTACTACAAGCTGCGTTTTCCCAATTCAACAAGATCTATTGAAGAGATAAAACGGAATATATCATTGGTGTTATTGAATGATCACCATGTCATAAGTACACCAAAACCATATTTGCCAAATATGATTGAAGTGGCTGGTCTACATATTCCAGAGGCATTCGAGCCGTTACCTCCTCACATTGTGGCAATGCTTAATAAAACCGGAACAAAGGGTTTTATATACGTGGCCATGAAAACACACTTCCCCGACGATGTGATGCAGGGAATTCTCAATCAGTTCGGAATGCTGGAACAACTGGTTTTGTGGAACACCATTGAATATCCATCCCCATTATGGCGCATACCAACAAATGTTTACTTCTTTACCAATTTATCTCATCATGCCATTCTCGAACATCCGAATTGTAAACTCTTAGTATCTCACGGCAGCTATTTTAGTGTTATAGAAAGCATTCATTATGGCCTACCCATTTTAGGTTTGAAAAGTGTTTACTTTCAGACTGGAGAACTATTTTATTTTATTTCAAAAATAACTGCTGGCATTTCCTTGAAAATTGGACCAAAATCTTTGCGAGACAATGAGATATATAAAGCCGCTCTGGAGCTGGTAGAAAATGATATATACCTTAAAAAGGCAAAAATGAAATCTTTTCAATTTCGCGATCGTCAGAACACACCAATGCAGACAGCAATTTATTGGATTGAATACACCTTGCGGCACAGAGGTGCTCCACATCTTCGTCACTTGGGACACAATTTGAATTCTTGGGAATTTAATAATGCCGACGTTTATTTGTTCATTTTCCTGGGATTAATGGTTGTGTTTAGAATATTTAACATTTTTCTAAATTTTTCCATTAAATTAGTTAAGCATATGTGTTGCAAGCAGAAATATAAAATCGCTTAAAAGAAGATTTAGAGATTTTTTTAAAAATATAAATAAGAAATTATTTACAAAAGAAGGCCTGAGCCTCTATGCTTGTTCTAGGAAAAAGTGAGATGAAAACTTTTATAAAGAAAATAAATTTTTTATGAAAATTTTACAAAAAATATTTTTCATTTCATATTTTAATAGAACAACAATAGAGGCCCTGGTGATGTTTTTGATAGACGATTTCAAATGAATTCCCATTCCATGGAAATCAAAATTGTCTTGCTAAAAGACCTCAAGAGAGAATTTCTCTTCCTGAAGGACAGAAAAGTGGTTTGTAGAAGATCACAAATGATGTCCTCTTACCAGTACCAAAAAATAAGTCTTCTTTAATTGGATTAACACCCAAAAGAGCACTACTTTTTCAAAAAGAAAAAAAGAAAAAAAACTATAATATAATTATCTTAAACAACAATAATGGGATTTTGCCTGACGATTTTGCAACAATTAAATATAAAATTTCAAAATTTCATATCACAGAAAAATCTTCTGAAAGGGCAAAATATTCATTTAATAAAAAACATAAAAGTGGGACTTTATTTAATAGAAAATCACAAGAAAGATTTTCCATAGAGTGTTTCAACTAGAGTTCAACTTCACCACAGTATGAAGGGTATATTAAGTCATTCCATTTGTAACACCTCGAAATATATATATTTTAGACCCTCCAAAGTATGTATATTCTTGATCAGCATAAAATTATATGTCTACTTAGCGATGTCTGTCCGTCTATCCGTCTGTGGAAATCACTCTAGCTTCCGAACGAAATGAAACAGATTGATAAAATTTTACTAAATGTATTGAAAACGGGACTTGCAGGTTTACGTTTCGGTATAGCCCCCGTACAACGGTACCTCCCGATATTTAGGATTTTTATGATTTTAGCGACATTATTCACCGGAAATGTTTCAATTTGCTGTTCGAAATGGATACTACAGCCTAACACAAAACATTTTCTGTGCAGGTCCACGTCTGCGTATAGCCCCCATATAACGGTACCTCCCGATATTCAGTACTTTGTTCAGTTTGGCGACATTATTCACCGGAATTGTTTCAATTTGGCATTTGATGTTCAGGCCCACGTCTTCTTATAGCCCGCATATAACGGTACCTCCCGATATTCAGTATTTTGATGATTTTAGCCGCATTATTCACCGGAATTATTTCAAATTTGGTATTTGAAGTTCGTAATGGATACTACAGCCTAAGACCGGAAATTGTCTGTGGGTCCACGTCTTCGACAACATTATTCACCCATTTGTTTTTAAGTTTCATATTTGAATATTGCGATATCTTATGACAAAAGTTACCTATGCAGGTTCACGTCATCGTATAGATTCTAAAATAACAGGTACAATCAAAAGAGATATTCTTCCTTAGCAGATTTGTCATATTTCATAGAAGATCTGAAGCAATCGTCCTTTTAAAAGAACTCAAGCGACCGGCTTCCATAAAATACCTAAAGGGCTCTTCTTCTATAGAAGATCTCAATATGTCGTCTTCCACAGAAGACCCTAAGTCCTCTTTTGCCATAGAAGACAGAGGGTTTTTTACTTTATACTGGACCCCAAATTTTCGTATTTCGTAGAAGACCTCAAGAGGTAGTCTTCCATAAAACACCTCAAAGGTGAGTTCCATGTAAGACCTTAAGAGGTCGTATTCACTGTAAGATCTAAAGTAGATCCACATAAGACACAAAATGACGTCTTCTTCCAGAGAAGATGTCCACAACTGAAGTCTCCTTTAGAGAGACATTAAGAAGACATATGACTTCGGTAAAGTATTCTTTCTTAAATTACCAAAAGATAACTTTTTATAGAGTTCTTTTAAAGAGATCCTTTTAAGAGAAGACTTGAACATTTTCTTGAAGAAGGCTTTAAATTGAACACCTCAAACCGCCTTTCCATTGTAGAACATTGCATAAAGTGATGGTATATACCATTTGATAGGGCCAAAATGTCTATCAACGAAATAATTGTTTAAGAGCCAGGTGTCTTTCTACCAAATCCTCATCAGGACATTTGAAGTCGATAGGATGTCCGTCCGTCTGTCTGACTGGTGTGCACGATAACTCTCGAAGGAAATATTCTATTTGATTCAAACTTGCTACATCGTAGCGTTATTGTCAAACTTAGATCCAGTTCGCAAATGGAAATATCGGTCCACTTCTTCTGGTACCTCCCACAAAAACACTTTCAAAGAACAACGCTTTCAAAGAAAGTCATTTTTCTCACATAAAGAGAAAAGATTATCAGATTTGGTTCAAACTTCTAAAATACTCATATTTGCATCATCGCTAAGTCAGGTATGAAAATGAGCAAAATCAGTTCACTTCTCTTGATGCCTCTCCCACAATGGGTCAATTTTTTTTTAATAATAACAATTAATTAACTTGAATTAATAGATTTTGTTAACTCCCCCACAAAGGGTCAACATTTTGAATACCCAAACATCCGATTTATTCCAACTTGGCACAACCAAACATTTCTAACAACACAAAATAATGGTACCACTCCCACAAAGGGTCAAAATTTTGATTAAAATTGAATTAATTATTAAAAATTACAAAATGAACATTCTATTCTTTTCAAAATTGAAAAAGTCCAGTAAATCCCCCAACACAAAATCTGAAAATGGCAAACATTGAACCAAATTTTGAATTATTGTTAAAGTAGACTTCGTAATCGTATTTTATAAAAAGTACACAAACCTTTTTATTGGCCACAAGCTACGATTTCTTTGGTAAAAGGCTCTTCTTTGCTAAAAGACATCAAAGAGGTAATCTTCCTACTATATGCAGTCGTAAAATCTCCTCGTAATCTTCCTACTTTATGCACTCGTAAGAACCATATTGGATAGCATTAAAGATATATTTTTTAATTAAGAGGTCTCTCTGTGAAATACCCTAACAGATTCTGTCTTAAATGGAAAATTTCTAAACTATTTTTCACTTTCGACAAAATCATGTTAAAGTTAAACCTTCAGTTACTTTTGTAAAATCTACAGCAATTTTTTGTTTTTAATATGGAATTATGTCGAAAATCTCACATTCGAAATTTTGTAACTTACATGTGTACATAGAAAATAGTTTATTTGACCTTCCTTCTTCATGCCCCTTCAGTAAATCGAATCATCATCCAACATGGTGAAATTCCCCATTGTGGCTATTGGAAATCTCTATCATAAGCCATTTATCGATTTATTATCAAATAACGAGGTAAAGAGAGAATATTGTCTCTCTGTCTCACTCTTGTCCTTTGTTAATATCGACTGATTACTCCATTACGAGCTTGAAAATGTGGTTGTAAATGTGGCCATATAACATTATGGCTATGATGTCTGGCTCTGAAGAGAGTCTAAAACAGAAACAGATATGGATGTATATGAGTGTGTTCGTGATATGGCGAGACGATGATGACATAAAACAAACATCATGGCAATGTAATCACAAATTGAATGTCAAGACAGAATCGAAATAGATACATGGAAGTACATACTCGTCTGTATGTGCGTGTATATATGGATGTACATGTCATGTAAGTGATACAGCACATCATATGATTGTAGTGGGCAAACATTTTTATACGATGCACATGCACATTCACATGCAATTGAACTGACTTCATCTTGGCCAAGAGACAGCTATATTTTTTCTCTTGTTTTGATGGGTTTTGAATTTTTAAGACTCCATAATGTGATACCAAATTACTTCTTAATATCTTTCTTTGTTTGAGCTTTTTTTAATTTTTCTCATCGGAATCTTAAAAATAAATCATATGTTGAAGCGATTGAAATATACATGCAACATTTTGTGATGAATTTCATTTGGCGATTTGGAAGATTATGGAGACTTAAAATGCAGCCTGGGTTAGGAAATTTTTCTTTGGGTTGGACATTACATGGTGAGATAAAAAACTGCAACAAATCGCAATAATTTTTGCTTTTTTTTTAATTTTATTGAAAGAAAGCAAAAAATGTCGGATATAGCATCAACATTTTTAATAAGTTTAGATTTGTTCAAATTGGTCATCTTTGGCACGAAATATGGCCTTCAAACGGCCAAACGCTGCCTGAATGTTGCCCTGCGGTATTTTGGCCCATTTCCGGCGAAGCGCTTGCTTGAGGTGATCGACACTTTGGTATTTTTTAGTGCCAACCTTGCTTTCCAAAATAATGCAGACAAAATAGTCCAACGGATTAGTATCCGAATGTTTTGGTGGTCATTCTGCGCTGGAAATAAAGCGAGAAACGTCATTTGTAACCATTCTTGGGTTATGCGTGCTGAATCCTGTTGGAATGTCCAAGGTCTGCGGCCAAAATGTTTGTGTCCCCAAGGCTTTAATACACCCTCAGAATATTTTCGCGATAATATTCGACATTTATTCTGATGCCACGGTGATCGGTAAAAATTTATATATAGCTACCATATATATGTTCGTCAGTTTTGCCTTTTATTGTGCACCAAACGTGTAATGTCAGTCCGAATAGTATGGAATGCACCTACACCCAAATTAGGCCTAAAAATACGTATGACAAATTTGATCGAAATCGGTTCAGATATAGCTATAGCTCCCATATATATTGTTCATCCGATTTGTTATTTTTGTCCTCCGCAGCCGTTATGTGCACTCTGTAACAAAAATATTTGGGGAAATATATCAATACAGCTCAGAAATACATTTGCTAAATTTTATCGAGATCGGCCCCGCCCGACTTTAAGACTTTCTTTACTGTTTGTATTTGTTACCCACAGCCGTAATATGCACTCCGTAACAAAGATACTCAGGGAAATATATCAAATACAGCTCAGAAATATCTTTCGGCCACTGCAATACGGGTTTCGATCAAGTCCTTTTTTTACTTTTCTAACCATTTCTGCTGATGTTGCTGTTTTCTTCCGTTCACTTCCTTGACGTCGGGCTACGCTACCAGTATCACGGTAACGAGCGATGGTACGAAACACAAAAGATTTATTAACATTTAAATTCTGGAGTG